TTTTTTTTTTTGAGATTAAAAGTAAATAACTTTAAAAATACAATTATATATACAATAGAGAAAAATTGACTAAATCAATTGTAATTATATTATATTTTAATTTTATATTTTATTTTAATTAAATTTAATATAAAAATTTATATAAAATTAATTAAAAATATTATATTTAATAAAATTTAATCTGTGTCCTAACGAGTACACCTTAGAAAATTCCTATTTGATATAAAAATGCGTGATGTAGAGACATTGGAACAATGTAAAGAAAGAGAAGACAATTAATATACCGTTTCATGCATTCCACACTTTTATAAAAGCAACTAACAAAAAAAATTTTATGTGCAAAAGGAATCAATAAATATTAACGAAGATAAATTGGTAAGATTTTGTTGTCGATAAACATTGTGGACAATGGAACCGGAAAACACTCGTCCTTGCCCATAACTTACGGTTTACCCCAGAAAGGAAACATATATATTTGGGAAAGGGTATCCATATCAAGTTGGAGAAAGGCACAATTCATCAAACGACACTTGTCCACAAAGAAAATTATGAAATACATCGATCCCTTCACTTTGGTCTTATGTAACAAACAACAAAGTTAGAAATAATAATATAAACATTTAAAATTAATACAGTCCCAAAGATGACTTTATAGCAGTTAAGGACAAGAAATTAAGGAAGACCGTACTTAGGTTGGGCCTCAGCTACCGGTCATCGACGTGACTATCAAACCACTACACACCCCAAAGACCCAAAACTTTTAACCTACCAATCCCTCCATTATCAAACCCCCAATCCATTCCCCTCTATTTAAATCTTATCATTTTTTTCCATTTCTCCCCACCTCCATCACTGAACTTTCAATTTTTCCCCTTTTAAAGGAAAGGTACAAGAACAGTTCTATCATGGGTAGCTTAACCCCGTATGTCCCCGAAGCCGGTCCTACTTTAATCATTGGCTCTACTGGTTTCATCGGCCGGTTTGTTACTGAAGCTAGCCTTGACTCAGGCCGGCCAACCTACATCTTGGTCCGGTGTGGCCCAACGTCTCCCGCTAAGTCTGCCGCTGCCAAGCTCCTCCAAGACAAGGGTGCCACCATTATTCATGTACGTGTTTTAGTTTATATGAAGCATGTACCAAGTATGCTTTTTTATTTTTTATTTATATGTGTCACTTTTCTTGTGACCAATATACATATAATATACGATATGTCGTTTTCCGGTAGACTTAAAAATTAATATATAGTTGAAAAAAATGTGTACGAGTGCGTGAGATGATCGTTTGATTGTGATATCAGGGCACCATCAACGACCGTGAATTTATGGAGAGGGTGATGAGGGAACGTAAGATAGAAGTTGTGATATCTGCCGTTGGTGGTGAGAGCATCTTGGACCAGCTTCATCTGATCGAGGCCATCAAGAATGTCGGTACCATAAAGGTATATATAGAATAACATGGGAAATTTAATTGAAGGCCAAACTTTAATTTGTTCTAACTCTTTTTTGGTATATTAATTTACACATTTAACTCTACATTCTTAATTTTAAGCTGGGAAGTCAAGTTCATGTAAGGATTCTCAAGCATAAAAAAAAAAAAAAAAAAAAAAGAGGAAAGATGTGGAGAAAAGGAGAACTTAAATCTACCGAAGCTAGCTAGCTAGATAGTTTGATAATAATTTTTTATAATATACTTAAAAAAAATAATTGATACATTTTTTATTTTAACATATTTTTTTGATATTTATTTGATTTAAATATTAAAATTTACTATAAATAAAACTAATTTAATTGATTTTTATATATTATATATATAATTATATCTAAAAATTGATTTATTTTTAATTTAAATTAAAAATAATAATTTTTTAATAAATATTTTATATAATATATTGAAGCAAATGATATATCAATTTACATTCATTTAAAAATTAAGGAATAAAAAGGTTGAAAAGGAGTACTTCTTGTATTCTTTAGATGAGTTTTCGTTCATCTTGACCCGCTAAGGTCTTTATATTCTGCCCCTTATCTTGGTAAAGATACATAGTGTTGGTGGAAAAAACTAAAAGAAGGTAAGAAAGTGAGGATATCAAACCATGTGGAAAGCGAAGAAAGGTTGAAAAGGAGTACTGATTTTGCATTCTTTAGATGACTTTTCGTTCATTTTGACCCACTAAGGTCTTTATATTCTGCCATTACCATTTTCAAAAAAAAAAAAAAAGGTCTTTGCAACGTATCTTGGTAAGATCCATAATGTTGGGGAAAAAACTAAAAGAAGGTAAGAAAGTGAGAATATCAAACCATGTGAAAAGCGAAAGCTGATATTATAGAGACGGTTCAAGAGGCATTCCAGAATCTGGACCCATTTTTATTGTTGTTCAGCACATATTTTTCGTCTATTCTATCTCCGAAATTTTAGAATTAAGATTTTCCAAATCATGCACCTTTGTTTATTAAAAATTAGCACATTAAAAAATAATTTTACAGTCTGTATAACACTAAAATATAAAATACTAATTAATAAAATTTAAAAAATTATTAATATTAAAAAATAATCTTTTATTTAATAATTAACATTTACTGTAAAATACAAGACTCATGAAATGTCAACTTTTATTTTTTCTTTTATTTTTAATGAAAATTTTTGGTAGGGTCTACAATTTTACACTACTAGACAAGATATTCCACTAACAATAAATGGGTGCTTTCTGAAATGTGATGTGTACGGACGTTGCAGAGGTTTTTTCCGTCGGAATTCGGACACGACATCGATAGGGCAGATCCGGTGGAGCCAGGCCTCAGCATGTACAATGGGAAAAGGAAGATTAGACGGTGCATTGAGCAGGCTGAGATTCCATACACTTACATTTGCTGCAACTCCATCGCGGCTTGGCCCTACCATGACAACACTCATCCCGCCGACGTCCTCCCTCCGTTGGATCGCTTCCAAATCTATGGAGATGGTTCTGTCAAAGGTAAAAGATTTTTTCTTCTTTATCTCATTCTCATATTAATTTGTCATTTTGTTTACTT